TTATTATTTCAGCTGATTCAGTGTTGTTTTGTTTGACAATTGCTTTCAATACTTTTTGATGGTCATTATTTAATATTCTTGGTCGACTGCTTCAAGTTAAGTCTTTGACACTACCTCTTATTTCATAATTCTTTATAGTTCGAGTAACTGTTGTTCTAGAAAATCCAAGGATTTTTCTAACTTTCACTTTTGAATTGCCACCTATATGGAGACCAATAATTTGACCACATTCAGTTTCAGTTAAATTAGATATTTTACGAAATTTAAAATTTTATCAAATCTTTAAAAAATTATTAAAAAAAAAACTACCCAAAATAATGTAAAAAAAATTTTACTTGAGAATTAGATGAAATTAGATTATCGCATCTAAAAGCCTCATAATATGTTAATATGTAGGTTTTTTAAAATTCTTCATGTCAAATTTTTTTCTTTACAAAAATGATTGGAATTTGTTTTTTTATTATTATTTGAACTGCATAAAGGCTAGAAATCTAACATTTTATATTTAAGTACATGAATACCTAGGATCAAAATAATATAAATTTTTTGTGCAATTATTATGTACGCTTTTGTGCAATTCATCAATTTAGGGTGACCGAAACTTTTGGGTAGGTAGTGTATAATAATAATAAATTTGTGTTCTGAAATTTTATCCGTTAAATCATTAAATCTGCTTTACTGTGTATAATTAAAAAAATCAAATCACTATATAATTAATATGTAATTCCTTTTTAAAAAAACATTTCCTGGTTTCAAATTGGACCTTTTTGATGTTATACAATTCCCAACATCACTGAACAACCTTTCTGATAGAGTTGAAGTAGCAGGAATGTAAAAAAAATTTTTGCCAATAATAATAAAAAGATGCTTTAGAAGGAAAAGGCTATCTAACATTCCCAAAAATGTACCTAGCAGAACATTATGACACCTTTATGTTGCAATTATGAGTGGTGGTACTCACTGATTGATCGAATGTTTTATTTGTTGATAATCAGTCAATCAAGTATTATTAAGAATTGGTATTAGTATCAATTATCCACTAGTAAAGTTACATTTTTAAAAATATATATTACAAGTAAGGAACAGATTTTAAAGGAACATTTGATCTGATCTGATTAGATTTTATTATCTACATTATTAACCTTTGAGGCTTTGCCATTTTTTGAAACTGTTACTTTGATTATCTACAAAGACTGTGTGTCGCGAAAATAGAAAATTAAAATATGTATAAGAAGAAAGATTTTAATTTATGTCTTGTATAATATTAATAAATATTTAATAATGAACTTACATAAAATATAGTATGGCCTTGTTTACATACTACAAAACTTGATCAATGTTTACACTTTGCTATATGGGGTATTCTTACTGATTGATCAATTAGTCATTCGTCTCGTTGATTAAATTTCAACGATCGATTGCAATCGATTAAGCCGATAATCGGTGAATGTTTTGCGAATAATATTCAATGAGAATCACCACTAGTTATTATTACTTTCTAAGGAACTCGCTTGTTTATTAAGACATAGGGAAACAATAAAACTACTCCCTGTCATCAGGAAATTAAAACTTACGTCAGTGTCAAAATATAACGCTGAGTTTACAGGTGGTTTTTAAATGTAACAATAATTCATAAAATACTTATATTGTGGCTTAGTTTTTACTGTTTTCCGGGCGGAATGTACAAGTTCCGTACTATTACATAACACATACAAGATAGGGTCGCACTTCATTTAGTTTGTTTCAAAGTTCAAAGAAATTCCTTTCTTTGACAAATCATTACTTTATCTCAATTCTTGGATGGTCAACTAACGCTTCGTTGGTACGCCGTACCAGGATGAAATGGGGTACTGGTCCGCACAATTGAATTTTAGAGTGTCCTCAACAATTATAGATATATGTTAATAATTTGTCCCAATGAAGATTGCAGCAGAATCGTGTTGTTAAAACTTTTCGTTGTTATCAGTGTTGTGACCAGAAACAGAAACTAACAGAAACCACCCGAAACTAGTTTAGGTTAGTAGTTTATGTTTAGGTTTAGGTTTAGTTTTCTGCTTAGTATTAGTGTAAGTTCATTTTCCAAACGTTTCGGGAAGCCAAAAGAGTTTCTGGTCACAACACTGGTTCTCATAACATGTACCAGAGGTCACGGAATTGTGTACTATGTAAAAAAATACTCGAGATAAAACATTTGTTTATTGATGTTGATCAAATGTGTAAATATGACCTTTGCATTATCAATATATATATATATATACACGATATATCGAAATTCCCTATTTCTGGTTTTATTCCTCTGATTGTGTCGTTTTACCATGCAATAACTACTAGGAAAGTAGTCAAAACAATTCTACGACTGTTGTAATTTTAATAGCATTAGAAAAAGGCACTCCAGGTTTAGTGTAATCAGGCGGTGATTTCAATAAAATAAATTTCACACTACTAATAATAATTAATAATATTTATTAATAAAAAACAGGATATTTTATTGATTTGTTTATTCCATTTTTCTTTGTCGAGAAACTAATAATTCTTTTTTTTTTTTTTTAAATTATATAGAAAAATTCCAAATTTGAGGATTTAATTAATCGAATTCATTCATTTTAAACGTTGTAAGTGGCGTTGTGCCATTTATTATTATTATTACTATTATGGATACTTCATGTTCCGAATGTGGTGACAATGAACGAAGTTATTATACAAATAAATCGGAATTTCAAGGTACAAATTTTTGGCTATTGTTTTTTACATAGTCATTTTAAAATAGTTTATAGTTCAATCAAACAGTATATTTATTGATTGTAAATAATCTACAGTTTTTCCAAATAAAATTCTAATTCTATAAAAAAAGTAAAATTTTTCTCTAAAATGACTTAAATAATATAATAAATGTATGGATGAAGTCGTAATTATTAATTATTATATAATAAAATTATCATCTAAAACCATCGAACAAATATCAAAAGGTTCAGTGAAATTTCTTGAAGCCTCGACTTTTATAAAGCTTATTGGTTCATTATTTATACAATCAAATTCTATTGTTATTGAATTGTATAATACATTAGAATCTCCATTCGTTTCAAGTTTATCTAAAGTATCTAATTTACTGCATTCATTCTAGAAAAAAAATTTTTTTGAAATAAATAAATATATATATTATATACATATACATGAAGTTATTGAATAAATACATACCCAATTATGACCATTTGAAGAAGTTTTAATATTAAATGATGCATCAAAGTTACTTATATCTTTTGAGGAAATTATTTTTATCTTTTTGTAAGACTTTGGTTCAATAAAGTGTAAACCAAAATAATCACCAACATGTGGAACTATATAAGAATAATAATAAAAATTGAACAAAATTTTATCTATGTTGGTTTTAATTGAGAAAAGAAAATAATAAATAAATACTTCTAAATGAATTCCAGCAAGTTTTCTCATCAAGGTCCACCGCATTATGATAAGCATGCTGATCCCAAAAAGTATTACTAGGAAAATCTAATTCATTAAACTTGTGTTCATGTTCATGTATATGGGTGACATTATTTGCATAATAAATACGTGATGGATGTGGAAATGGATCAATGTTTGTTATGAAAAGGCATTTATCATTTAAACATGGTGCTCTAATTATATATGTATGTATGTAAAAATAATAATTAGCTTTTTGTTATGAAATTCCATACATAAATATGAGTCTATGAATAAATATATATATACATGTATATGTGTAAATGTTTTTATACCTAGCATTTCGTTCACTGAAATATGGTTTTTCTTCTTCACGCACAAACAATTCAGATCCAGTGTTGACAGCTAAAGCAGTATATAATTTTTGTATTGAATCAAGCTAATAATAATAATATAAATAAATAAATATATACATGCATGTTTACATGAACAGTTTATAAAGGAGAAATCACATATTTACAATATTTCCATAGACAATAGCCCATTGATCAACACTATTACTCCAACCTTCTTGCTGATCTAATGGTGTCAAAGGATTAGATAATTGATAAGGATATTGGTTTGTCCATATTGAAAAGTACATGTCTGAAAGTTTTAAACGTTCTTTTGCCAAAGAAATAGATCCAAGTTGCCCTAAAAACCTTTGTACTTTTGCACGTGGAACAAAAGAGCCACAGCCAAACCAAGTAAATCCAGTATGAAGATTTTTATCTTTTTATTAAAAATATATACATATAAATTGAGCTCAACATATTTAAAAATGTTAATTGATTAGTTTATAATTTTTCTGTTTTTACCAGCATTAGCAAACATCCATCTTCTGTGTTCTAAGTGAATTATTGGCATTGTGTTTGAATGGATTAAACTTGGATTATTTAAGAAATTAGTATACATGCTATCCATATACATGTTTAACCAATCATCATCTTGATAGTAACAATAATCATATTTAGCCATAGAGCATGTTGTATGCTTTGATAAATCATGAAGGTTTTCATCTGAATTAAATACATTTAAAACCATTCCATCACTATTAATAAGTTTAAAATCCTATAAAAACAAGAATTTTTGAATTTAACATAAACTATATTATATCATATCATCATCTAATTGGTTGATTAATTAACTACCTTTACATTAAGCCTGATTTCATCATTATTATTCCAAATCAATATTTCTTTAACAAATGGATATTTTGAAAGGTAACTGACTACTAATTGTAAACTTTCTCTACGTTTCCAACCTAATAATATTGCTGTCACTGGAATCAGCCCATTTTTCTTTAAAGCTTCTTCTGTAAACTGTTCTTTTTTATAATGACTCGTTTTATTTTTTATTTTTGCTATCAACTCCGATGGTAAAACTAATGGCTTTTTTGTTTTTTTAATGTCTGTCTTTGATTCTGGCGGTGACTCATCGGTAAATACTGTTGGTGAGTCGTCATGTTCAGCCCAAGGCTTCATGATCGCAATTAATATTGTGGTACAAATCAACAAAACGACTAGAATAAACTTGACAATGTTGTTTCTACGTGTGAAAAGTCGACCGTGAGTTGATCCACCCCGAAAATGTAATTGATCTTTAAACATCTTTATTATTGTTGTTAATGTGGTTTAATTATTATTATTAAAAAGAAAACTATATATATTTTTTAAATAATTGTTTTCAAGAGCCAATTATTTACACTTTGCTAAATCGTAGAGATGCTAACAATAGATCGATCTCGAATTTAGTTTATTATTTATTTTTATTATTTTTGTTTGTTAATTAAAATAATTTTTTTTTGTGCAACTCGATATAATAATTTAATAAATACAACAGTGTAAACAATAAATAATCAAATCCTACTGGAGAAAAACTTGTATGTATACCTGTTCTTTACATGCTTTCCCATCCTTCATGGAGACAGTTACGATGAGAGTTTTAAAGCCGTGTAGAATTTCTAAAATTGTTATAATTTCAAATAGGTTCAACTTGAATAAACATGCTTACATATTTATAATAAATTATAATTAATTAATATTACCAATTTTTTTATATTGTCCATATACAAAAAATTACAAATTAGGATAATTATTTCATTCATATTATTGGAAAGAGTTGCAGTTTTCAAATGATGATGTGCAAGAAGTATGTTAACCGCAGTTGGCATAAATAACAATGCATTCAAGAGATGCTAAATATACCGTGAAGATTTTTTCTTGCTTGATTAAAAAACTTTTAATTAAAATATAAATTTCCGTTAAATAAATAGCAATTATACATGTTTGATCAATAAAATAGATCAATAAATCGATTTATATGTAATTTACTATAGAAACGCTCAACATAGCATTCGTCAAATTGACCAGGTGTTTTTGTTTTTTTCCAATGCTTCTGCCATAAAACTACCATTTTCTTTCCAATAGATAAATATAGTTTGAAATAAATGACAATGGAACTTTATTACATAGAATTTTTTCTTTTCCATCTAAGGGGCAAATGTCCAAATTTTAAATGTTGTTTTTAAATATTTTTCAAATTTATCAGAATGAAAAAGAATCGCATAAATGTTTCAGAAATTCTTTCCATATATTTAGCAGCTAGCTAACTCTAATAATATATTTATCCTGCAATATATAGATTTTTTGCTAATACTTTGTCATTTGTCAAAACATAATTTCAAAAAGCTTACAATAAACAAAGAGCTGTTTGCTCGTGTGAATTTAAGGAGACATGAAAAGGACCTTGAAGAGGACCTAGAAGAGGAAATTATTATTGATAATTTTATACCATGTTAAACTTTTACCAGTGACATAGTAAGAAATTATAACTAAAACATTAGCATTGACAAAAGTAAGAAAAAAAAACACAAACTACAACAACTGATACAAAATAATAAACCAAAAAATACAAACATTTCCATGAAAATGAAATTCTCAAAGAAAAATTAAACTGGTGACAAGAATGAGCTCTATGCTCTACTAAGAGATGACAGAAGAAGACACGCCTGGGGCATGCAAAATTCCAACTCAAAAAATCAATTATTTTAACAATTCAAAAAACTTTAATGATCAATCAATATCCAAGATCATGATTGTTTATATTCTATCAAGATAATCAAGTAGATACAAACAAAAATTCCAAAAACATTAACATAGATGATATAACCTCAGAAATTACTGATGATTTAATGTACATATTTGCCCTGAAAATGCATTGAAAATGTATGGAAAATGCAGAGTGCGAGATACCCTAATTAGGTCAAAATTAAGTGATGTAACATCATATCGATCAAATAACAAACTTCTTTTTAAAAAATAAAAATTTTATCAGAGCCTTCAACTAAAGAGATACAAACATTAAACCAAAGGAAATTGTAGCAAATATATCAAACTTTTAGTCTACAGAGAGTTTTTCATATATTCTAAAGAAATTGAAAAAAGATACTAATAGAAAAACTTTATAAACAAATGAGATAGAGACTTGAGCAATAAAATTATAAAAAGTTTTGTTTAACTTTATTATGAAAAAAAAAAAAAAAAGTTAAAGTTATTCAATTTATGATTAAATTTTATCATAAATTTACATTGTAGCTGATAAATTAATAAATTAATATAAATTTCTTTTTATAATTCATGTTTTCAAAAAAATATATTCTTGGTTGAATTTGTTGTCATTACATGTGTTGGAATATATGACCAGCCTGCAGTAAGATTTCTATTTGTTTATGCTTTCAATTTCAAAAAAATTTTCTAGTCTAGTTTTAATACTTACTTTCAAGTCAATTACAAATTCTGTTCAGAAATATGGAAAACTTCAAACAGAATATGGACTGGTGATTAAATCAAAGCCGTCAAATCACAATGGTGATGTAACAAATTTCTGTGTTGCTATATGTACATTACTAATCCATATTCTTTCAAACTTTACCATTTTATCATGTTAGTAACATTTAAAGATGGGACCGCAATTAGCCGCAACTAATTGCAGCATATGAAAATTTAATTGCAACTAGTCGCAATTAGTAGACCACTTGAAAAATTTATTTCAAACTTTGTCCATTTTATTAATTAATTATTCAGAAATTATTCAACAATTTATCCGAACTTTATCCATTTTATTAATTAAATTTCTTCAGTAAATACTCGGTTATTGATCCAAATTTTATCCATTTTATTAGCATATAAGTGAAATCCCATTTTTATGAAAAATGGAACCATAGATTCCGTGAATATGATACATTTATTATTATTATGATGGAAAAACACGGAAATGTATATTTATTAAAAACACCGAGTTTAATAATGATGGAAAAACACTAATACCACATTAAGATATGAAAAAAGTAATTATAAATTATGCAATATTATATCAATATCATCCATAGCTTGAGTTTTGGGCATGTTCAGAAAATCCATCAAATGATCGTACAATAATAAGATAAATCCGCTAAAATGGGTGTCCATATAATCAATCCATTAGAAGTCGAAACACCAGTAAAGAATCATAAGTTTTAAAATAAATTCTGGAATTGTTTTAATACTTCAATCAGATGAACAATTCTGGATTGGATGGTAAACCAAGGGTATTTATTATCAATAATCGCAGATATCATGAACTGCAAGAAAATCTGAAGGTATTTTTTATCTTTTCTAAAAATTTTCTAGATTTCAAATAATCTAATAAATGGATCAAAAAGATATTCACGAATAAATGAATCTGGCAGTAGTTACTCGAAATAGGATATCAGAAGTCAATAATCAGGGGCTTTATGGGTTTTTTATGGATAGACAATGCAACTATGAGTGAGTTCTTATGAATTGATACTGAAACATACCCTCTAATTCTTTATTTGAAGGATAACAAGTAAGAACTTGGAAAATCTCGAGGTTACTTATCCTGATGGAATTGTGGGTGTTTGGCAAGCAAACGGAACATAAGAAAACAATGATAATTCTAAAACTGAAAACGTCACAAAAATAATTTTTATTATGCATTCTTTGATTGCTTGTGTTAGAAAAAATTTTTTTTTGTAATTATAATATAATTTCAAGTATTTTATTATATAAAAATAATTAATAGCAAAGTATGTACATAAAAAGAAATCAATTATTCACGCCCACAGATCTCTATGAAATTTTAATTTATAATTACTATAAATATTCTTCTTTAAACGCCAAAATCCCCATCATTGATTACATAATTTCATCCATTCCCACGATACATCTCATCTATATTATCTTCTCTAAACGCTTTAACATTTCTTCCACAATTAGACCTGATAATTCTTCTGTAACACTGGCCTTTAAATAAACAATATATTCGTTTAAATTATATTGATTTTGGTAATATAAACAGATAGATATACAGACAGGTATTTATATCAACTTGATATGAGCTATTTGTCCTAGTTGTAGTGAAACCCGTCGATGATTTTGATGATATTATAGCCGTGAAAAATAACTGTAGATTACACTATAGATGACTGAAATGAATCCCTTTGAATTCACTTAATGGCTTTCTGATTTTGTCATCATTAACATCAGCATCATTACTTCTATCGCCGACGCCATCAAAATCCTCCATATCATTCAAATTAATTCTGCCGGCAGATTTCATGAAACCTTGTAATGTATTACTATTACAGAATACTTCATTTGTCATTCCCCTCTACCAACTCTTCCATATCAGCTGTAATATTTTTGCATCCCTTTATGAAAAATTGATATCATCATCACCGCCATCATTAACAATATACTTCTCGAATTATCCTAGAAAAAAAAACTAAAGATGGCTAGTCCGTTGAAAATGAGGAGTTTTGTAGGTGGCTGTGAAGAAAAATCACTATTTGATAATTAAAAATACATTTTATATGTAGTTATCCATAATTTATCTAATTCATCAGTAATTGCAATCTTTTATTTTCAAAAGATCATCTTTGAAATTTTTAATTTATAACGGAAAAATGTTTTTTCTCGAGTGGCAAAGTAAAATCTATATAACGTCAGTTTCTATACAAATAGAGTCTAAGTTAAAATTGTACCTGTAACGTAATTAGCAATTAAAAAAATAATATTATTATCATATGAATGGATCTACAAGGGGATCATTTACAAATTTGGTATACATAAACAGTAAAAGTCTTGTTTTTACTCGGCGTCAATGAACAAAATTTTTATGAAATTTAATCCTCGGGAAGTAAATAAAGTAAGAAAAAATATTCCTTTTTTTTTCAAAAATAATTTTTTTAAAACACAAAATGGTTTTATCACTATCTAAATTTTTGATATTTTTTATGTCAATAATTCTTTTATTAATAATGATAACAATAATATCATCATTATCTCTTCCAAAGTTTGGATTAACACCAGGAAAGGAACCAAAACAACTTACTGGATATTTTTTACACGTTACAGATTTTCATCCTGATACTCATTACATATCAGATGCTCTAGTAAAATTAAAATGCCATCATCAAAGACCATCCAAGCTTAAAAAACCTGCTTATATGAAAAAAGGTATTTCTGGTCCTTGGGGTGCTGAAGCGACCATATGTGATTCTCCAATCAATTTAATTAATGCCACTTTTGAATGGTTGGAAAAAAATTGGAAAAATAAATTGGATTTTATTATTTGGACCGGTGATAATTCCAGGTATATTGTTATTATTCATTGTAATTGTAATCATTTAAATTTGAATGATATTTTTAGTTGAATTTTTTATTTATTTGATAATTAGACATGATAGTGATGATCTTATTCCACGCGAACCACAAGAAATTTATGATTTAAATCAATTCATAACAAATAAATTCCTTAAAACTTTTACAGACACAAAAACTATACATATAGAAAAACGTCATCGTCATCTTGAAACTATACCAATAGTTCCTTCCATTGGCAACAATGATCTTTTCCCAAGTAATATTGTTTCTGGTGGTCCAAATGATGTCCTTACAAGTCTTCACGAAATTTGGTCACAATTCATACCAACAGGTCAACACCAATATTTTCTTAAGGGAGGATATTACTATGTTGAAGTTATACCTAGAAAACTCATTGTTGTTTCTTTAAATACCTTATACTTTTATAAATTAAATACTGCTGTTAACGGTTGCAAAGTTGAGACTCAACCTGGCACTATTCAATTTAGATGGTTGAACAATGTTCTTAAAAAAGCTAGAAAGCATGGGATGAAAGTTTATTTAACAGGCCATGTTGCACCAAGAAGAAATCAATACATGCCATCATGTTATAAAGAATATGGAAAATTAGCAATTAAATATCATGACATTATTTTGGGTCATTATTATGGACATTCAAACATGGATCATTTCTTTTTTATTAGCTCTAAAAATAAACATAAAAATGTGGGAACATTGATGAATGGTCTCAACAATATTGATGATCTTGAGTATGATGATGTTGATGCTGCTGCTGATCCTGCTGCTGAAGACATTAGTTTGAATAAGGAAATAATAAACAATAGCAGTAATGATTCATCTACTTTACCGCACAAATTGCAATTGAACTTCCAATCATCCCAAACAAATATTAATGATGATAATTATGAAAACAGACCAGTTGATGCTAAAATTTATGATGTTGATAAGTATTTAGAAAAATTATTTTCTCACTACAAAACTGTTCCGCGGGCAACAAAAGCTGTAACAAAACAATGTGCTGTTGTCAATATTAATCCTTCGATAATTCCAACATTTTTTCCTGCTCTTAGAATTTTTCAATATAACATTACTGAACCATCACAGCCACCAGCATCAGAATTATTTATAGATAATGATGATGATAGTGATGATGATGATGATGATGATGATGATGATGATGATGATAGTGATGATGATGATGATGATGACGATGATATAAGTTTAAATAATAACGATTCAAATAATGGTGACCGTAAAATAAACGAGCCTCATGAAGATGATTCAACTTCACCTGCACATTCAAATCTATTTTTGACCCCATTAGGTTACACACAATATTTCATTAATCTTACAGAAGCCAACCAATATCCAAATATCACACCAGAATTCAAAGTTGAATATAATACTTGGGATGATTATGATATGAAAGATTTAACTGTTTCAAGTTGGATTCACTTGGCCAGAAGGATTGCTAATCACGGTTTAGGAAGTTCATTATGGGAAAAAGTTAGGGAATATTTGATGGTTAGTACAAGGTCAATAATTAAGCAACGTAAATTAAAACATCAAAACTGTATTTATTCTAGATGCATGTCTAAAGGTCCTGAAGATTATATTGCTACTGATTTAATAATATAATTTTAATATAATAGTTTTACATATAAATTATAATTAATTAATTATTATTTTCTTTTCAATGTATTTTTCAATGTATTTTTATATATTATTGGGATTATAATAAACATAAACAAGTTTATCATGGACTGATATAAATTTTTTTACTATTCCATAATTGTTATATAACATTTTTATACACGGCGAGTCTCAATTTAATGGACATCCAGGAAATTTATCCGCTAAATCAAGATGTTCTGATACAGTAGTTATATAAAAATAATAATAAAAAAATACATTCACTCGTTTAAAATGTCAACATTATGATAATATTTTATTCTTGTTTGTGTTTGTCCTTGAGAACTTTTATAAATTTCACAGTTCAACTTCTTATCTTTATTATTATAATCAACCTATGTTTTTATAATTATCATTAGATAAATGGAATAATGGTATGAATTGCAATATCTGCCAAGTTTTCACATTGATAAATGATCTAAAAATCCTGCTGGTTTTCTAGCAAGTTCATTCTAATTAAAAAAATAGATTCCTTTGTTTTTTTTTATTTTTGTAATTTAATTGCAGTAATCATTTTATGTTTTTTAATTAATTGTCATTTATTTTTTATAATGGTCTTTTTTTGAAATTATGCCTTTTCTTTCTTCTCGTGTTATTGCATCTGTTTTTTCATTTATTCATTTCTTTCTTGTGCCTAATAATAATAACAAAGAATATTAAATTTTGGATGGTATTGGTGATAATGTTGGTTAAGGTTTAAAAATTTTTATTATATTAAACTTCTGATACTCAAAATCTCCACGTCCTACATATAAAAGTTTTCAAGAAACATTTAATTGATGATTCGTCAATTAAAGCCTTTTAATGTTTTTAGATTACGTACTAACACCATAATTAATATAATTAATATTGTTCAGACAACTATATAAACAACAATTTTTTACCCAACTTTTTCATTTCCATCAAAAAAATCCAACAAGTCCTTCAAAAAAAAAAAAAAAGATTTAAATTTGATCATTTTTTAACTTTCGACAAGTTATTAAAATTGCTCGTTGATCGAGTATATAAATATAAAATTCACATATTATTTAATTATTTATATAATATATACAATTATTTCTTTTTAAACAACAAAAAAAAATCTTTTCAAAGTGACAAAATATATTTTCTCTTTTTACTTTAAAAAATCATCTTCATCGTCATCATCTCCACCATCTTCTCCAAAATCTATTTTTTCACCTCCAAAAACTTCAAACGTCTCAATTTCTCGTTTCTTTTGATTGCCATTGAAGACTTCTTCATCAAATCGCGTTATTGAAGCTAAATCGCTTAACGAATCGGTTCAAATTTTAATCAAAATTTTTAATAAATATAAAAGTATCGATCTTGAAATTTCAAAAGGCTTTTTGGAACAATCCTACTTTATCTCAAATGTAATTAAGCCCCATACTACTAATAGAATTGGTAATGACGATTTTGATGTTGAAAAATTGGTGGAAACAAAAGAATTTGGTTTTTTTATGGATAAGTTATACTTGATTGTAGAATTTAATTCGAACCACATGACCAACGACGAAAATCAAGAAGATGTGAATACTAAAGATAAATTAAGAGATTATTTGCAATCTTTGAGAGTTTTGACTAATGAGCTGACCTTGAACACTTATAAGCTGAAAACTACTAGCACTAATGATGAAATAATCAATGATCGGAGAGAATAAATGTAACAAAATTTAGATTTGGGTCACGATAATTTGGTATCTTTAAATAATCCAATTGAAATTGTTGATGACGATAATAAAATCAGAAAGAAAAAACTTTATAAAAAAAATTCGTGGCAGAACAAGAAATTGGATTTTTACCAAATAGAAATGACGTTAAGGAATTGGAAAATGAATTGATTGAATTAAAATCGCTTGAAAAATGTCAATATATTCTAAATATATAAAAAATTCGCGATGTTCATTACTCAATTAGGATTTATGCCAGAGTTACACCATCGATAAAAAAAGAAATTAAAGGGGGAATTCTGTTTTTTTTTTTCTTCAATAATAGAGAGAGAGAGAGAGAATAATATTGAAGTAGGTACGAGTAATACTGGTGGCAAGCAATGAAGGTATACATACTTATTATCTTGAAATTAGTTTATAAAAATTGATAGATAATACATCGTCTAACAAACCATCTATTAAATTTCAAAGAACCACCACAAGTACCACCCAACCATCCATCACATTAAGGATACCCGCTGGCTGCAACTTTTGATGATGGTAGGTAATCGTGACAGATATTATTACACTTCATTAATCAAATAAATGACTTCATTTTTATACAAAAAAAAAGTTTATAAAAAATTTCACTGTCTTCCATGTAGTTTTAATAGTTATTATTATTTCTCTTTTTATTCTCAAGGATCAACGAACGAACGACCGACCTTTACACATCTTTGGTGAATTTATTTACTCTGGAAGAGTAAAAAAATATTCTGATATTCATACCATCTTTCCTTGATTTTTTAAAAACTAATCCCACTCCCCGTCGCTAAGGATAAAATGCAATGGAATTCACAGCGTGATCGGGAGGCTGTATATTCAGTTAAATTGCATTTTGTATCCTTCTCCTTTTACGGAACATGAAGGAGAAAGGAATTACGAAGTCTCATCCGTGATATGGATTTCACCCTTCGAAAGCTACAACTTGACGGGGTTGCAGCAGTTGCTGTGATCACTCGTTGGAGCGATTAAGGAGGTAATGGATAGAACCTGTACGGATGCGGGAAAGATAATTTTATTAAATCTGACACCTAAATAAAATACGTTAGATTTATTGGTCATATAAAAAATTTTCATTTCTCATGCATGGTCATAGTATTATTATTACTTTGGTGATGCAATATTTTCTTTATTTATTTGTAATGATAATATCAATTATCTTTGCTGTCCCATTAAGGAGAAATGCAAAAGGAAGGTAAAACTAAAATTATTCTGTGATTGGGACAAATGTTTACTTGTAGCCAACTAAGCCATTTCTTTTTTTGGCAGGCGGGGAAAGAGAATATCTCCATTCGAAACTATTTTAAAAGATTGGGATAATTTTGTTATTATCCTAACTCTAAAGAATCGGGGGATCGTAGATTATATGAAATTTTTGATATTATTATGTAAGCTTTAAAATAAATTTATGCGTTGAATTGTTTTTTCAAAATAATCAAATTCCTTTTATTTCCAATTGATAAAATTCTAGAAAATCTGGAAGTATGAAGGTTTATATATATAATCTCCGGAACTTTCATTACAAATTGGTATAATTTTTTATATGATTATCGTGTATATTTTTGCATCAGGATTATTATTAAAAAATTCCATTTTAAAATTTCAGAGAAAAAAAAAGATATGAACTAGCTTTACAGAAAATTGGCAATAGCATATCATGTCTATTTTTTTTATTTAACAAGGTGATTTGATAAACTTTCAAACAAATCTAAATTTATTTAATTATGTTATGTAATTATTGAGATATACAATTTTTTGTCATCGCAGTTTTTTTCTTAACACAAAATGATGAATATTCTTACGCCCGATCCTGATGATGCTAATGAGAAGGGAAATATTCAGATGGAACATTAACATGAAAAAAGAAAAACAACTGATACCTGCATTGTAATGTGAAATAGTAATAAGTAAAATCGAGATCAACATGGAAGTATTATTTATTTTATTTGTTTATTTATCATCATCAGATTTACTATTTATCAATCACTTGATTGAGCATTAACTCATTATTATATAATCTGTATGTTACAAGCTTTTTGAATACTTGATAAGAAATTCATTGATAGAAGAGAAAGATGGTGATGATATTCCTTTAACTGGAAATTAGAACAGACAGTATAATCCTCGTGGCTGGACACGTAAGAAAATTTCATTTAAAATTCGTTGAAACGAAATTATTATATAATAATATTATATACTAATTCACCTCAACAAATCTATGTTGTGCGTGAAAAATGAAATTTATGCAGTTGAGCATACACACGTGGATTTTTTACCAATCAATATATGTAATATAAAAATACAAACTCTACGATCTCCTCCACATTTGCCAACTTAAAATTGGCATATAAGTATTTCATAACATATACTCCAAAACAATGTTGTTAATTCCTTATATTTTTTTTTTTTGTTTTATTAGATATTCAAAATAAACTTTAAACAAAAAATTTTTTTAAAAAAAATATAATGACGTTAAGTGAAAAGAGTAAGTATTTTCATAACTGTAGGAATCATCACATTCTATAGTATATATAAAACAATTTCTAGTATGGTTTTGTTTGAGCATCAACATTAGCCAATCACATTATTATTATATCAATATTTTATTTATTCGTTGCGTTGAGCAAAAATTTATTTATTATTATTTATTTTATTTAAAAAAATTATATACAAAGGGAAATTGTTTACGGATTTAATAAAATTAATAAAAGATCCATTGCAAAAAGAACCATCATGTGAATCAAAAGTTATTTATAAATTTGAAGATTTAGAAAAAATTTACAATTTGAACACTTGTAATAATAAAGATAATTTTTGTTTGTAAAATCACGTGTTTTGATGTTTGAGAGGTCTTCACACCGTGCCCAAACCATTAATCAAGCTTACCCGTATATGAGATTTCATACTAGTACTAGTATGGTTTTTCTATACATTTTCCGTAGATTTTTTGTATGGAATACACTCCCTGGACAAAAGTTTCGGTCACTACAAAACAATTAATTACGCAAAAACGTACATAATAAAACACAAATAAATTTTATCAAATTGTGACCAAAGTTTGCAAGAATATGTATGCAAAATTTCAAATTTTTGTAATGTTTGGGAGAATAACAGTTAAAAAAAATAAAAAGTTCGACCAAAAATCTTCTGAAAAATCGTAGTTTGCCAAAAAAAAATCAGTTTCTCGGAAACTTACATAATAACCACACCTGAAATCGTGACATATGAAAGATTAGATTCCGAAAAATTATGTCATATGTTTTTTATACAAGTTTTTTTGTAAAAAATTGTTTTGAAATTTTTGAAATTTTTGATAAAATTAATAAGTCAAATACCCAAGTATGGTTTTTTTTTCCTGATAAGTGATCTTACAGAAAGTTCCTTTTTGTTTATATATTTTAAATTCGTAGACGTAATGCTTGCTAGCATTAACTATTATTGTTGATGCTACTATATAATAAACACAATTACTAAAACTAGCCCCCCATACTGCAACTGTAACTAAATCCTATGGATCTCCGCTCATAATAACTCAAAAAAATCACAATAGTTGCTACTATAAGAAGGGTCGAGATGAACACTGACTGTGATGATTGCAAAAAAAAACAAAAATTATCACAACTATTCAATGCTATCTACACCTCCAACTCTGAAATGTTGTGAAGTTTCTGGTGGTCCAGAATAGGGAAAGGAAATATATGCTCTTAGCCCAACTACTAAAGTAGTTGTACATAAAACATTGCTTTAAATCATGTATTGCTAAGCTAAATTGTGCTAATGGAGTTTTCTTGGTTCAATCTGTTTCCATTACAATCAAGACGAGATTTATTTGGGAATAATATTTAGTATTTTTTTTTGATATATACACTTGACATTTTAATTTTATTTAATTCGCCATCCAACTGCTGTGGGCGTTGGATGTTGGCTAAATCGTTAAGCGATCCATTGAAGAAGAATGAACGTGGAGTTCAAATAATTAAAAAAAAATTTCTTTCAAAATAAAAATGATTACTAATATTTCTCCTAATTTCATAAAATGAAAAAAAAAAAACAAAGCATGCTTGAATTGTCTTTAGTGCCTGAATCTGAAACACATATATGCAGGTCAATATTAGTATGCAGAGCTACTTTTACATACATTCGAATTGTGTTAACTTCTTTGAAGTTAAAAACTCTGATAGCAATACATAATAATATTAATAAAATTGCGATTGTGCCGTTTTTAGCATATGACTTTGAAGCACATAGGCATCATCAATGTTGGTACGTAGAACGACATATAAGATAGGCTTTGGGATTTATCCAAGCTTTAATTTGAAAGATTTAAAAATGTTGTATGTGAAATTGAAATATTATAGAGTGGGGTGAAATTCTGATTGGCTAATTTTGCAAATTCACATCATTTCACTTTCACGTACAACATGCTGAAATTCACTAGAGTTTGGTGAAGATGATAAAGTGAAGTTGTTTTTAAATTATGCAACTTTTATGTTTCAAGATTTATTAACAATTAATTCTGTTGGAAAAAAATTTAATAAACTGTGAATTACTATATCACTAGGAAGCGTACGAATAATATTACTGTTTGTTACACACCATTCTTTCGCAAATAATGTAACCGTTATTATTATTCTTAAAAATATCTACTCTATCCAAGTCAAAATCTATATTTTTATATAATGTTATATGATAAACTATTGTCATCGTTGTCACCGGAAAGAAAGGCGTTTGTACATAAAATTAATACTGAAATGGGTAATAATGCAATAGCTAATTCTGATGAAGAAAGTAGAAAAGATTATTTTTTTTCATTGGTTGAGAAAAACAAGGAACTTTCTGGAAATGAAAAAGAATATTGTAAAGAAAAGTTTATTTATGATTTTGAATTAAATAATGCAACTTATAAATGGAGCAAACCAAAAGAATGTAACAAGTGCAAATTGACAAGA